AGCGCTGCAAGCAGCAAAAAAGCTTCTGCTGCTTAATTTTTGATGCTTGTACACATTAAGGCACGAAGCTCCTCAAGTGCATCTTTGGGCTCCTGAAGCGCATCCAGTAAAGTGGGTCCACATGCATCAGATGCTGCTACTGCGTTTAATGGCAGAGAGCTGAGTTTTATAAGTGAGAAACTCCATATCAGAATATTGTCTGTGCAGGTATTTCATCAAGATTAGATCCTGCCTTCAAATATTATTTCGTACCAGCACGAAACCCCGTTCCTAGGCGGTGCTGTTAGTGAAAATCCCCTTCTAGAGCTTACTCTGGCCTGGTCGCCTCTTGAAGGTTTTCCACTACTATTCGTGGCAGCTGGAAGTAGCGGTTTTCATGTACGTAATCCAAACTGCACACACCGGAATAATAAAAGCAAATATTTTTTTGCCGGCAGGTTTCGACATTTTAAGTAAATTTAGGCATTAATAAACTGTTTCAGGACTGTGATCATAGCGCTCTGCATCAGCATTCCTGTTCTGTCTCCCTGCCAACTCCCAGATCAGCTTCTCCTATTGGTTGATGTGGCGCATGAAGCAGCTAAAGTACATTTTTTCCAACTCCAGCAGCTGTTGTTTGTGCAGCGTGTCACGCACACCAGATGCTCAGAAGCTAACACCGTAAGATGCGCTGCTCCTGCTGCTCGAAACATGCTGCACAACCTTTAGATGCACCTTGATGCACATCAAACATCGACTTTGCATGTAGACCTGCTGCTTCAGCAGTGTGCACTCTAACTGTATCGTATATCTACACAATAGGAAGGAGGGATAGATCCATATTACTTATCATGTAACTTTGGAGGGTTTTTTATTTTCAATGTTATAGCATATTGTGTCTTTGCTGTGGGTTTTCAGTATTTGACCCTTTGCATACTTCAGTGTTTATTTAACAGGATTTTTTTTTTTTATGTAAAAACTTGGTTAAAAAAAACGCAACAACAAAAAAAGATGGAAATGGAAGCGAAGCTAGAAAGTGCCTTTGACCCCTAATCATTAATCTGTTTCTCAGCTCCTTATCAATTTGTGCTTATTCCCCTGTGTGTGTCTGTGTATAAATAGATGCTGGAAGTCTACATGAGTGTTTCAGCTGCTGGCTGAGATGTTTAAAAAAAAAAAAAAAGCAAAATGTGGTCAGAAGGTCCAGTAAATATTTTGTACCTGTAAAAGAATAACTCTATGCAACTAGGTTTTATATAACAAGATGTACATAGTCGTGTGAGAGAAAAATGTGTGTGTCTATTGTTTCAATTTTCTCATTTTCTCACTGATAAAGTAAATGTGAATGAAATGCAGCTTCATTTTGAGCCAAAAGTTCAAAGGAAACTCAGCCCTAAATCCATTTTTTTTTAATCACGCATCTTTTCAGGAATCATAGTGTGTACTAGTGCTCTAAACTTAATTAGGCCGCTGTCCTGTAGCTTTTAAACATTCTTGCTTCTTTACACCTGCCTCCAATATGAGCGCATTAGCAGAGCTATATAGCTCGGCTGCTGCTGGTGAGGTAACCATTTGATTCAGGGTTAGAGGCAAAGGACACAACTAAAAGTTGCCGGACACCAGCCATTGAGATCACTGCTCTATGACTTCATCTCTCCGCCTCTAACTTTGTCCAGCTATTCTGAGTCATTTGTGGTAGAGCTGTATTTCCTGACAGATTATTTACTAATTAGCTTGGTTGTAATGACATCATTTTATTTAGGGTCATCAGGGTTTTCTACAGTAATAATGTACTACTTGGTTTTGGTTTATAAAATAAAATCTCACCAGAATATCGTTGTGCATGCTTGGGACATTTTTGTGCTTGTCGGCTATTCTGCAAGGATAAATAAAACAAGTTAACATAATGAAGTTTTGCCTTCCAAATTGACTTAAGATTTTTCGTCACAGCAACAGCACAAACTTTTTTTTTCTTCCCAAAACTGTTTTTATTATAATTGTGCATGGATAGGAGGATATAGAAACCAAAGTTGATTTAAAGCATCAGATCTTTTGGAATCTTAATTAGGCCTGAACTTTCACAGAAAAACGAAATCACATTTTCCTCTGTCGATGCAGCTTGGTGGCCACAGGCGTCTCAGTCTGAGTGGGGGGAAAAAAAGGCTCGTGTAGTAAAAGACCATCATGACCCAGACTGTCAGCATGCATCTTTCTCAAAATATTATACAGGCTTCTGTTTATGGAGGTTGAAAGCTGGATATTTTTCCAGGCCAGGAGAAAGTAGTCAAGTGGACATACAGAGCCTTAAAAAAGTGTCATTGAAACTGGGGGAGATTTCCACTATAGTGGAGCGATGTGTGAGCGATCATCACATGCTGAACAACCATTACTTCTCCTCATACAGCTATAAATGTCTCTATCTCAGCTGCCTTCCTCTTTCTCTGCACTTAAAGTATTATCTCCCACAGCTAAGTGTTTTTCCTTATGCAAAGCATCTTTAGTTGATAAAGTTTTAATAACACAGCTCGTTAGTTTGCAAGTAATGTGATGGTGTCGCCAGTTGTGAAAATTGGCAAAAATATCCACTTCTGAAAAATATAACTGTTAGTAAAGCTGTTATGCAATGTCATTACTCCCATGCTGCCCATTGTGAAGCAAAAACAAATATGACAAAATGACAGAAAATCTCAGTGTGAATAACCGTTTGATTAGTTGGTACATCAAGCAACATTTCACAACAATTACTACTGCAAGTCGCATTGGATGAGCCTCTGAGCCTACCACAGCCTGCAGGATTTTTGCTCATTTCCAAATGGGAACTTCTCCTGCTCCTTATTGTTGACTGTTTTTTTGCTTCTGAACAGAAATGTTCCAGTCTAATGACAGATTTATATCTGTATTCAGGTCTGGACTTTGTTTTGGCTAAAATCCGACACCTAAAAGTGTTTCCCATTAAACCACTTAGATGGTTGCTTTAGATGTATGCTTCAGATTATTCTCTAATTGGAAGCTTAAACAGACTAACACAGGATCTGCTTAATAAAGTCCCTATATACTGTATAGCTTCAGCCATCTTTCCCTTATATTTGACTACTTCCCAAGTCCCTGCTGCCTTCCCAAAGCCTGACTTTTTTTAGACTCCTGTTGCTCCACCTGAGAAAGGAAACGAGCAACTATCGGGACCCCCTGCAGTCTGTTTCTCACCATGGAGTTTGAGTTAAAGATGATGTCTTAGGGTTTGCTGCAAGACACTTCTGGGAAAATGTTTTTTTTTTGTGGGACTTGACACCTAATCAAAGTCATCCAGCTTAAAGTTGGAATACATAAAAAGTAAACTAAAGTCAGTAAAACAAATTGGTTTCATATTGTGTTAGTGATATGATCAGAATGGTACAGATTTCCATCTTTCGATCTGTAGGATCTAAGTTTCAACCTGATCTGATTTTATTTTTCTGGGGCTAAAGAATGTTCTTTAGGTTCTTGTGACATGAAATGAAAATAAGCTGATGTTTAATGAAGGCATATAAGCAAAAGTTCCTGACCTTTTTGTTTATAATTATTTATAACTTGAACTTGAAGCTTGCAAGGAAACGTTGTTAAAGGATACATTTGAAGACTAATTATATTGTGAGTTATTGGGTTCTAGGTATTAAAATACTGAGATTCGATCAAACATTTACTAATTAGAGCCAATTATGCACCATTCTGATTCAAACTTTACTGGAGCATCTTTAGTTTTAATATAAAGATTTTTTTTCTAATCATAAACTTTTTTACATTTTTACATCCGTATATTTTTATGGCTCTTTAATTACTTTGACTGACTTAAGTGGAAAAAAAATCCTATATTTTACTGAACCAAATCTTTCCTACTTTCATTTAATAAATCGACCGATCCTACATTAGATTTCCGCTCTTTCTGCCTGATTTGAAGTCTCGTGCATATCAGAGGGAAGGAATGGATTTTAAATTTCCCTGGAGAAATTATTAGTACAGCATGTATCTGAACCAGGTACAGATTAAAAACCAAGCCCGTTATAAACCCATTAACCCAGTCATTATGATCTGGGGAAAGTCTGAGTATGAGGGTGTCTAAATTTAGAGCCACTCCTCTGCCCCTGGTTCTGATAGAGGCCTTTTCTTTTGAATATATGTCTAAGTTCAGGTGCAGTGCCATCAAATCTAGGATTATACTTGATTAATGACATGATCACCTTATTGCATTTTCACACTCCTCAAATCAGTTGCCAAATACTTCCTGGAAATAGACCCTGAAAAGAAAAAATATAAAATATTTTTATTTAACTGTTTTAGCAACAATATCTCTAAGGCTTTTATTAAAACATATATATATATATATATATATATATATATATATATATATATATATATATATATATATATATATATATATACATACACACATACAGGAAGAATAATAGGATTCTGCCATAAGAGGTATTCAATTCAGAGTAAAATATTTCATAAATTGCACTTTACAATTGCAGAGTTATCTAAAATCAAGATACCAGTAACATTCACAATAGACAGCTAAATGTACTCAAATGTTTGATCCTGTTTTACATCAAAAGGTTTTTTTTTGGCTTTTTTTTTAAACACTTTCTTAAGCATACAACCAAATATTACTCCCAAATCACTATATTTGGTATACTTCCCAACACGAATCTTCCACACTCTCTGGAAAAAGGAAGAGAAAAAAACAGTAGCTTTCACCTCTAGTTTGGCTTGCAGATTTATTTTACTAAATTCAAAACTAAGCACCCCCTCCTCCCTTGACCCCTGGGTGAAAGATCCTTAAGTTAGACTGTAGGTCTTATTTATTTATTCATTTATTTTAGCGGGGTCGTTATGTGGTGCATTTGAGCAGGGATTGGTTGCTCATTTGTGGTTGGACCTGAATTTGGGGCAGGGCGAGCTAGGGAGAAACCAACATACTGTACTTGTAATTCTTGCACTTGTTGTTCACTCTTAAACCATCTTTTTTTTTCCTCTTTCTTTAGAGACTTGCAACTGAGGCTGAAAGGTTACAAAAGGAACATGAGTGGAGAGTCGACAGTGATGTAAGTTAGAAGCCATACAGTAAATTCATTAACTTACATGCAAATCAAGAGCTGCATGTGCAGAGAAGTTGTATTTCAATTGTGTTTTAATAACTGTCAGAAAGATACAATTTCATTACCGTATATCATGAACTGGCATGAAAGTAAGTAAAATGATGTATGTTTCACAATATTATGAGTTTTAACATTGAATCTAATTTCATATAAAACCATGCTTGTTTCCCTCTTGAAACCACAAACTGCACTGCTTGTGCTTACTGTGGTTGCTTTAGGTCTTCATATGCTCTCTTATGAAATGGTTGCAATCATGAATATAAATGTTCATTTGAAAACACAATTTTATTGCTGCCAATTAACAAATGAAAATGAATACTCTGCACATTTAGTGATGGAGGGAAGTGGATTGATTTGAGCCATTATTGCTTTTAGGTTGGAATTGGAGCTATTTTCAAACCTTAATGACTTCTGTCCATTAAACCTTTTTCTGTAATTTAATGTCATGCATATTATCAAGTGTTGAAAGATTTTAGTAGGACTCATGTCTTTAGTAGACTGATAGATTTATACATTATATAACTATGTATTTGCTTGCCTGGCAAGTGCATACCTTTTTGCTTAATGAACTCAGGTTTTTAAGACTGAACCCGATAAACATAATAGTTTTATTTGCATGCAAACGTAAATCATACATAAAACTACCCTGACTTAATTTAAAGATGACAAATTTACACTGAAGCCTTTTAATTAGGTCTTAAACAATTAATCGGATTAATCGTGATTAATTGATTATTGATATAAATGTCAACTACTTTAGTAATGGAGTAATAGTTAACTGGAGTATAGAGACTCTAAAATGCCTGTAGCTGACAGAGCGACTCACTTAGAGCAGTCATTATACCAAAATTATTAAAATATATATATATCAACATTTTGCATTTAGGGTTAAAAAAAATGTGTCTCCTCAGTTGTAAAAGTTTGAGTTCCACCTGGTTTAATTTCGTAGAAAATCTTCTTTATCTTTGGTTATCCGATTATTAGTTGATTACTCAAAAAAATAATCAACGGATTAATCAATTTGCTAAATATTCATTAGTTGCACCCCTACATTTAATAGCTCTGGCAGATTGACGTTTAAGCCAAGTATATTAACCCCACAGGGGCGGTTAATGTACTTGGTTTGATACAATTTACTCTTTAAAAAAAGAGTAATTTTTCTTTTTAAAACATGTTCACTTAATTATCATCTGACACTCCTAAGCAGATGTCAGTTTTGGGCTCGGTTGTTTTTAGCTATTAAGCTTGTTTCCATTTGATAAAAAAAAAGAAACCCTGTGAGATAATTTTACACTAGCAGTGGTACTAGCATTATTGTTTGCACATGGCTGCAGGGTAGGCAGACAGGTGTTGAGAGTCAGTGAACCAGCTTAGTGGCTCCTGGGCATTATGTCAGCAGTGAGACTAGCTTGTTACCACCAGACTAGCCTGTGTACTGACATGAAGCCCAGCAGTGCAAAACACCAGGATCCTCACTGATCCATGCTGCCAGCAGAGGCCTGCTATTTAAGAAGAGAAAAAAACTCCTAATTGACTTAACTCTAAGCTGGAAAAAAATGACCCCAACTTGAATGCCTTTTTCTCATTCATATTCTTCTCATGTTTCTTTTTTTTTTATATCTTTGCAGCCCAACAAACTCCTTTACTACAATGCCAAGGATGGTGTAAGTATGTGTATGTGTACATACATTTTCTGAAAGATGTTGAACAATTCCCTCCTGGTTCTAAAATATTGTCTTTTCCTAAATATGAAGAAATGAACAGGTTTGTATATTATGTACCTCAAAAGAAAAAAAAATAGTGCTTATATTGTAGAATTTCTGTGCATTGCATTTTACTATCAACTCTGAACAGCCTTGAAGTCAGTAAGCAAAAGTGTTGCCTTCCATGGACTATGATATCCTCAGTCTTCTTAATGGCTTGTGCCCAGTTGTAAATTGGGAATTCCTTTTTATATTTGTTTTTAATTAATCAAAGCCTGTTTACTTACTGGTAATGGGTAATATTTGTACAAAGAACAATAAAGACCATGTATACCTTTCCATCACATTCCTCTGTGCTCTGTACTAAAATAAGTCAAAATAAAATAAATTGAGGCTTGTGGTTGGACTGTCACAAACTGTGGGGAAAGCAACTAAAAGACTTTTATCAGACACTATAAATAGGTCTTTAGTATATGGTAATGAATTTTATTTGTCTTATGCTAAGGTAGGATGTTTATGAGAGCTTCCTGTACTCACCACTATAACTGTATTTTCACAAACGGCCCTGGTCCTTCATTCTTCTACTCCATGTAGGCAGCCATCTGCCTTAAGTCAATGTTTTTTACAGGTCCTGTGTTCATTCTGTATTTCTCGGCACAGATGAATAGGACCTCTTTAGAAAAAGAACAAGAGACAGAAGAGGAGAAGAGAAACCGGTTCATTCCTGACGACTTTGAAATAGACCCGACCTTTAAACGCCATGTCTCCTACAACACCACTGCCGTCCACATCCCTACAGACATATATGAAGGCTGTAAGTTCAAATACCTTTAAATGAAGAAAAATAAATTTATACAGGATTTATTTATTTATCCAGGCCAACAGGGAAACAGGTGGCCAGATAGTATCTGACACCTCCTCCACTTTTTAAAAGGTGGCAAGGATAATCATGTTTTTGATTTGTTATATTTTGACCCCCACAGATCTGACTTCTCCCAGCTGTCTTTATTCATCATAGTATTTTTCAACTGAGCTGACTCACCTACTTGGCAAAACCTAATGTGAAAATTAAATCTTTTCCTTGTTAGATAATTGAATCAGTCCAACAATGCACAGTCATGCAGAGGAAACATGAGAGCCAAATCTGAATTGGGTCTTTTGTGACCATTTAGTAATGCAAATGCCTTTCTGATCATTAAAAGAAAAAAAAAACAATCATGTCATATTTTACTTTTATTTAGCAGTTTGTATTTCATGAATCTGTCCAACTGAACAGCAAAAAACTCCAATCTGATCTTGCAACCATAACAGTGTTGAATATTTCTTCTCAGGAGGTGTTCCTTTCTGCTTTTAAAACCCATTTTCAAGTGACCACTTCTGAGAGTAAGCCTGCCTATGTGTCGACTCTTTACTTAAACATAGCCAGCATTCACCATTAAATATTGGGGTATTCAAACTCTACCTCCAAAAGATAGAAAAGACTCTTTGGAGATACTGAGATACTCTGTTTCTACACATAAAGGTGAGCCTAGGAGGTAAACCAGATCATCAAGAGCACACAGTTGGTCATCTGATCTACTCCCTGCCCCCACTAATACAAGAGATGAATCAAGCTATATCCTACAATAGAAGTCTTAGGCTATATTCACACCGAAGCCTGAAGTGACCCAAATCCGATTTTTTTTCGCCCATATGCGACCTGGATCTGATCTTTTCATGACGGTCTGAACAACACAGATCTGATTTTTTCCAATGCAACCCAGGCTGCTTGGCTATGTGGTCCTGAATCCGATATGAATCTGATCTTTTCAAATGCGACCTGTGTGTGAACGGCTAGTTCGCATTCATTCGACCTGAATGTCATTAATACCCGACAGTGGTCCCTCTTCTGCTTCTTGCTACACAGAAGTGGAAAGACCAGCAACAACAATGGTGGACGATAATGCAGAGAGTAGTATTTATGTTTAACCATCTTGGAAAGATTGAGGGTTTTTTTTTTTTCTTTAAGATTGAGTTTTTAATTTTGGGAAAGATCGCTAGATGTTCTCCAGCACTACCATCCATGCTTACTTAAAGACATAGCACTCTTGCTTGTGACGTCATTGCGTCCTTTACAGTAATGCGGGACACTTAGGTTGTATGAATGCAGTTCGAACAGGAGATCACATACAAATCGCATATATTTTGAAATGTGAACGGCAACGCAAAAAAATCTGATTTCACAAAAAATCAGAATTGAGCATCAAGGCCTGCAGTGTGAACGTAGCCTTAGTCATACACACAAAATCTGGTTCTATACAGAAACTGTCGGCACATGCTACAAAATAGTTAAAAAGAGAATTGAAATGTCTGAATTTAGATTAATTAGTTTCATTTAAAGTGTGAAAATGAAACATGATTATTATTAATGCTTATGGACCATTTTTTATTTATCTAAATATGTTGGCCACCAATCTCCCTCAGCATTTTTGTCGTGACACTTTGTGCACTAGTTGCAGTGACTTCAGTGATTAAAAGCTCAGCCTTTGGGCACCATCTGCATTGAAGAAAGCCCTTTAAGTACTCTAGTCTATATATAGTTGGAATGCCACCCACCCATTGGTCAGCACCCTAGCCCCTTTTTTACGCCAGCCACCAGCTGCTGTCATCTCTCATGCTGATAACTGACTCAACCAATAATTGTTGACAGTTTCATAGCATGTTAGCACACTCATTAAAGATCCCTTTGAAGAAGTGTGAGAAACATTTTATTGTTGTTTGAAGTTCATGTCACTGACAAACATATTTTTCTCTTTGCTTCTACACATTCTTCCAACATTGTATGGCTATATTTTTGTATAATAGCCACACCTGCATTAGAATTACAAAAAACCAAACACTTTAAGGTTTAGCAATAGGCTTTTAATCTCAAATAAATAGTCAGACATTCAGAGATGGTATATAATTCGTTTTTGACTTTAAACCACAGGATAAAGTATGAATTACATGAATACCATTTTCAAAACTGGCACAGATTAAATTAATTACATTTACAAGGGAAAAAGCATCAAACATTAAATATTAAAGAACAAAGGAGCTTCTATCTAAAGGATTGTTAATATAATGTCATATTTAGAACTCATTGTTTTTATTTACACATTTAAGCAGAAGGTAGGGGAAAAAAAACTTGGGTAAGTGTAAAAATAAATTGGTATAAATAAATTTATTTGATTAATTAGTTTAGTTGGGGGAAGAGTTGCCATGAATGTTTATAACTACATGACCTTAGTGCTCAGGAACATGCCACCTTTTTTTACTGTCCAACCAATAGCAGTCTCAAAATGGTATGACATCTTTCTGGAATGGATGAGTGAACTATTATTAATAAGTTTACACAGCTTCACTTCAGGAAAGCAATCTTGAAAATCAAGCTGCCTGGTCAATAAACACCAGTAATATCTTCGTGGTACGAAAAAAGACAGCATCATAGAAGACCGTTTAATTTAATAGAATAGGGAAACCTACAATTAGTTAATTTGGTTGTATTTAGGCACACAGTAAAATCATTTTCTTTAATTTGTCTTGATTGCCATTGACTGAGGATTCAGTAATGGTAGCAACGGTTGTCATTGGTTCTGCTGATAGCATGAGTCTTCACCACATGACTTTAATGTCCTTATACAGCAAGTCGCTCCCCATAAGGCGGACTATAAATGTGCAGTGACGGGCCTCAGAGGCCTCTGACTGTGCAGACATTTTGTCATTGCCAAATGCACTTGGTTATTTTTACAAGTAGCAGTTCTAATGATGAAAAGAATGGGGGATGGGTTCAGGAGATTCAGTAGTGCGTTGCTCTTAGTATGATTCAGTCATCTTTTTTTGTAAATCAAAAGTGGACTACTGGCTGCTTGGTTTGAAGTAGGGTTTTAATTTTACTCTGCAGTAAGAAATGCCTGTTTCTTCTTATACTCTTATACAAATTTTATTGTAATTTTTTTTTATAAACAGAGTGTATTCAAAACTAAATTTCGTTTAGCACAGCTTTCAGACAGTAAATCCCCATTCCCCTTAGAGGAAATCCCCATCCCCTTGGAGAGCAGTGGGCTGCCATTGTGTGGCGCCCGGGGATCAACTAGGGGTTAAAGGAATAGTACACCCAAAACATGATTAGCCTTCATTTTCTACTCACCCCCATGCTGAACAACACTCTGGAGTACTTTTTTGATATATCAAATGCATCTGGAGATCTGGGAAGCTTCTTGCTGTCTGCTGACATTCAAATAATGGAGGTCTATGGCGCCCGAGGCAGAAAGGTCCATAAAAGTCCACAAAAAACGTATCAATATTCCTCCATACTGCTCGTCCAATGTATTCCAAGTGTCCTGAGTGGGTAGCATCCAGAATTTACTCGAAACGAAGTCATTTAGAATGTTTTTAGAGCATAAACAGTAGTGTATAGGATTTCCTGAAAGCGCGCGCCTGCACGATCACGACGCTACGGAAGCCGGCAGACCAAACCAGATGAAAGTGCGCATTCAGCTCGGCAAAGAACTCATGCTCTTCCTCAACACTGAAGTCCTCAGACATTTTTCTTTCGTTGTTTCTTTCTTTGCACAGGTAAACAGCACATTTCTTCTTCTATGCTTGCATTATCGGCAGAGCAGACGCTGAATGCGCACTTTCATCTGGTTTGGTCTGCCGGCTTCCGTAGCGTCGTGAACGCGCAGGCGCGCGCTTTCAGGAAATCCTATACACTACTGTTTATGCTCTAAAAACATTCTAAATGACTTCGTTTCGAGTAAATTATGGACGCTACCCACTCAGGACACTTGGAATACATTGAACGAGCAGTATGGAGGAATATTGACACGTTTTTTGTGGACTTTTATGGACCTTTCTGCCTCGGGCACCATAGACCTCCATTATTTGAATGTCAGCAGACAGCAAGAAGCCTCCCAGATCTCCAGATGCATTCTGATATCAAAAAAGTACTCCAGAGTGTTGTTCAGCATGGGGGTGAGTAGAAAATGAAGGCTAATCATGTTTTGGGTGTACTATTCCTTTAAGGGTTTTGCTCAGGAACCCAAAGGGAAGGCTGTGGGTATCGAACCGGGTACTTGCAGCCTGCTCAGAACGCAAGCGCACTGCTCTAACCCACTAGGCCAACATTCCCCTTATGCCTGTTGTTTTGAACTGTTTTTCTTCATTTTAGTACTAGCACTTCATCGCGCCCTTTCTAACATTGTACAGTCCAACATAAGTAATAAAAGCAGTTATGATTTAAGCTAATATCATATCTTATTAGTATCTGTATTGGTTAATTCTCAAAGCTTAAACATCAGTGTCAAATCAGAAATGGGTGGTATCAGGACCCCCCTACTTAGAATAACATAATGCTATTAACATCTAAACTGCTAGCAACAAAAGAGAGCACAACTCCCCAAGTAAAAATACATGAATTGTGCCCAAATTGGCTATTTGTCCTCCTAATTAACTTAACTCTAAGATGGAAAAAATTGTAATGTGACTCATTTGTGTTTCTAGGTCTCTGATATGGACCTCACAGCAACCTCATTGTTAAACATTTTTGGACCCTGCCAGGTTAGAATTACAAACTTAAGTGTCAAGCCTAAAGACAAGCATGATGGTGAAGAGGTCATGGATTGACACTGCAGGTTGTTGGGGGGCTGTGATGCATTGAGGGAATCTTGAATGCCAACATGAGACAAACTGTAGTAAAATAATTTGGCCACAGAGCAGTATTCCAACATACAGTAATGACCCAGAACAAATCTCCAAGGTAATCACTCCCCTGCTAAAGAAAATTAAAGTAGA